AAACCGCCAGACCCTGGGCAAGAGTCATCCCTGGCGGCGGCGGCCGGGGAGAAAGCTGGTCCCTGCAGACACACAAATCCGGCCTGAATCACCCCGGGCCGTGACTAACGGCGATGGGGACAGGGAAGGGGGGGAGCCTTCCTCCTCACCCTCCCCAGGCTGAGGGGCCGGCCTCCTGTCTGTCAGTTGGATCCCTCTGGGGGGTACCGGCTGTCCCCAAGCTGGAGGAGTAAGGGCATGATGTGGGGACCAAAGGTGGCCGGGGAGGTAGAGGGGGTGGCCATCAGGGACCGAGGAGCAAAGCCCATAGCACTGGGGGTGACAGGTCATGTCGTCGTGGTACCTAGTCCCCGGTACCTCTCCCTGCTGGGTGACAGGGGCACGTCCCTGCCGCTATCAGCAGGGAGCGGCCCCGAGGTGCGCGGTTTCCCGGGGCAAGGCCGGGGCAAACCCACGGGTGCAGTGGGGTGAGTCAGCGGGGGTGGATGGTGCGGGCAGGGCTGTGCTGCCTATGGGCATGGCTGTGTCCCCACACCGGGGTGGCCCCAACATCTCCCAGGAGAGCGGGGACAGCTCTGCCCGCCTGTGGGGTACATGGCCAGGTGTGCTGGGGAGCTCTCCATCCCTGTCCCCGCAGCTCTGCCAGTGCCCACAGTCTCCCCGTTCCTGGGATCCCCTGTCTTCACGCAGGCTGGCAGCCCTGAAGCTGGCATCTGGTCCGTGTCCCCCCCATGCCATCCCTGCCAGCCCTCCCATGCAGTACCTGCCCTCGATGACCGTAATGATGTCATTCATCTGGATGTGCAGCTTGTCGGGCTCCTCAAAGTCCTGCAGCGCCCTCATGTCAGTGGGCTGGGCCTGGGGGGTAAGAGGGGTCAGGACAGGGGCCAGGTCCATCCCTGCCCTGTTTTGGGGCCATGCACAGCCCCACGCAGGGCAGGGTAGCACCCAAAATGGGCAAGAGACAGTATCACCGCCCCCAGCCCCTCAGCTGTGACATCTCTGGGGTGGGCAAGGGCAAGGTGGCCCTGTGGTCCTCCTGCTGTGGTGATGTCACTGCCTGTCACCTCCCAGCCAATGCCCCCCAGTCCCCTCCTGCCTTAGTGACACCCTTAACTCTGCCCATGCTGCAGCACCAGAGGGATGGGGTGCTGGGGCCCCTGTACCCCTCCCTGCTCACCCACCTCCACCAAGAAGTCCCGCAGGGCAACAAAGGTGGGTCGGTCCTCGGGTTTGTGCGCCCAACACTGCAGCATGACATTGTAGACGTCCTGGGGACAGTCCTCAGGCCGCGGCAACCGCTCGCCCTCCTTGTCTATCTTGTGCAGGATCTGCAGGGCAGAGGGTGCCGTCAGCGGGGCCCAGGTCCCCTCCCAGGGTGAGGCAGGGGGGCAGGTCCCGGCCATGCACCCACCTGGCTGCCGTTGAGGCCGATCCAGGGCTCCTGCCCGTAGGTGAACATCTCCCAAAGGGTCACCCCGAACATCCAGGTGTCGCTGGCATGGGAGAAGGTGCGTGTCTTCAGGCTCTCGGGAGCACACCTGCATGGGGAAGGACGTGAGCATCAGAAGGTCGTGGGTGCTGCACCCCCAGGTCCCCTTCTCCCTGAGGCTCACCAGGCAAAGGGGACCTTACGATGCTCCTGCATCACATAGTGGTCATCGTTCTTGGGCAGGGCCCGCATCAGTCCGAAGTCCCCGATCTTGACCAGCTCGTTGGAGGCCAGCAGGATGTTGCGGGCAGCCAAGTCGCGGTGGATGAAGCGCTTGGACTCCAGGTAGGCCATGCCCTTGGCCACCTGGATGGCGTACTGGCAGAGGGTGGAAATGAGGAAATGGCCCTGGTTCTTCCTCAGGCGGTCCAGGAGGGAGCCCAGCGGGGCCAGCTCTGTCACCTGGGCCATGGGGAGGAGACAGCAGGTCCATCAGGCCAGGGGTCTTCTTGTGCCCCCACAAGACCTGGGGTACAGACTCAGCCTGGCTTTACTTGCCCTGTTGTGTGCGACCCCAATGGGGTGGCATTGGGGTTGTCCCTGTTCCCCCACACTCACCATCTTCATGGGGTGGGAGAGCACCACGCCATAGAGGCGGATGAGGTTCCTGTGGTCCAGGGAGTGCATGGCATTCACCTCCCGGATGAAGTCATCCAGCGCCTCTGGCTGGCTCAGCACGTCCGTCTTCAGGCACTTCACTGCCACATTCAGCTATGGCCGAAACAGGGGTGAGCCCTGAAGCATCGTCCCCTCCCCAGGGGGTTCCGCTGCCCAGCTCCCTCCCACCATGAGCAGCTGCTCACCGTCTTGCCGGCAGGCGTGCACCACTCGCCGCGCCGCACGACACCAAAGGAGCCATCCCCCAACTTCTCGAAGAGAGAGAGGTCCCTCTCCCGCACGAGACAGGTGAGGGAGTGCTGGCCCCCGGCTTCGGGGGGTGGTGGCGTGGGGGGCTTGCGGAAGGTGCTCTGGGGCTGGGGCGGCAGCTCCGACTCAGGGCGCTTCCCACTGAACACCTGTGGGACACAGAAGTGGGCAAGACACAGGGTGAGATACCTCGGGTCTGCGAGTGAGCAGTGCTGGGCTGTACACTCTGGAACCTAATGATGACCCTTAACTGGTGGTTACCCTGGGCAGACTCAGGCTCTGCTCCTCCAGCTGCTTGCACATCAAGCTGCAATTTGGGCAGAGCGAGGGGGCTGTGACTCTCCCAGCAGACCCACGGTGCATCCTCAGCTGCCTTGGCAAACCAGGCCAGTAGCCAGAGAGCCCTGGACACTTCTTGGCCAGACCATGGTCACACCATGTGCCTGAGCATGAAGCTAAGTGAAACCCCCAGCTCGGGATGAGCGTGGTGACAAGTTCCCGCAGTGACCTGGGCCTTGCAATACGCGCTGCCCAGACGGGGATGGGTTCTCCCTGCATCTCCTCCCCCAGCCAGGACTGATGATGTGCACCATGGGCTGGGGTCCATTCCAGCCCTGGCAGCTGGGACCCACGCAGGGTGTGCGAGGGCCAGGCTCAGCATGTGGCCGGGGTGGGAGGTAGCATTTCTGCGCCCAGTGCAAGGCTGAGTCGCCTTCTATTAAAAGCCCATTCCAGCCCAGATGAGTCAGGCAGGGCACAGGCCACGACCCAGCGCCCAGCTGGCAAGCGCCTCACTCTTTTTGGGGTGCAAGGTGCCAGTGCAACAGCAGCAGCAGCTTTAGAGGGGATGGCATCAGGGGCACACGTGTGCATCCTGGGGTCTCCTGACTCACTGCGCTCCCAGCCTGCGGGCACAGAGCTATGCCCCCTTGCCGTGAGGGGTCCAGGCAGGGCTGCTGCCCACGGAGCCTGCGGGCTGTGTGGCTCGTTTGCTGCAAATGAGTTTCCTGGCAAATAGGCAATTCATGCGAGGGGAATGAATTTCCTGAGTGCAAGGGTGGCAGGGCCCAGGGAAAAG